TTGGGTCAATAGGGTTCGGTTTATGTCCAGATTTTTGCTTGTCCTGAAAAGTTGCTTCATCACCATACTTCCGAATCGCGTTACGAACGGCTCCGATGCTTACATACCTTCCAATTTCGCTAATTGACTCAGAGAAATGTTGTGGATATATCACCATCTGTGCACGACCTGTTTGCGCTTTTCCGGAGATATGCTTCACATTGTCACGGAAATGTAAAGAAACGACACTTGCGATACACGAAACTGTTGGTCGAAATGTAAATAATGATTCAGCGTGATAATCAGCGTTTTTAAACGTCATCTGAAACAAGTAGGGGTGTTCCAAAGTCGTGCTTAGACACTCTGGGACACCCTATAGCATAAGTTAAAGTAAAGTTAAAGTTAAGTTAAAGTTAAGTTAAAGTTAAGTTAAAGTTAAGTTAAAGTTAAGTTAAAGTTAAGTTAAAGTTAAGTTAAAGTTAAGTTAAAGTTAAGTTAAAGTTAAGTTAAAGTTAAGTTAAAGTTAAGTTAAAGTTAAGTTAAAGTTAAGTTAAAGTTAAGTTAAAGTTAAGTTAAAGTTAAGTTAAAGTTAAGTTAAAGTTAAGTTAAAGTTAAGTTAAAGTTAAGTTAAAGTTAAGTTAAAGTTAAGTTAAAGTTAAGTTAAAGTTAAGTTAAAGTTAAATTAAAGTTAAGTTAAAGTTAAGTTAAAGTTAAGTTAAAGTTAAGTTAAAGTTAAGTTAAAGTTAAGTTAAAGTTAAGTTAAAGTTAAGTTAAAGTTAAGTTAAAGTTAAGTTAAAGTTAAGTTAAAGTTAAGTTAAAGTTAAGTTAAAGTTAAGTTAAAGTTAAGTTAAAGTTAAGTTAAAGTTAAGTTAAAGTTAAGTTAAAGTTAAGTTAAAGATAAGTTGGAGTTAAGTTAATGCTAAGCTAAAGTTAATTAAACTTAAGTTGAAGTTAATTTAAAGTTAAGTTAAAGTAAAGTTAAAGATATGTTAAAGTTAAGTTAAATTTAAGTTAAAGTTAAGATAAAGTTCAATTAAAGTTAAGTTACAGTTAAGGTAAAGTTAGTTAAAAGTTAAGTTAAAGTTAAGTTAAAGTTAAGTTAAAGTTAAGTTAAAATTAAGATAAAGTTGAGTTAAAGTTGAGTTAAAGTTAATATAATGTTTAGTTAAAGTTAAGTTAACATTAAGTTTAATCAGTACATTAGTAAAAATTTAGCTGATAATCATGTTAAAATTTTATTAAAGATAAAATCAAGTTAAAATTAAGTCAAAGCTTATTAAAGTTAAGTTATAGTTAATGATATGTTAAAGTTAAGTAAAAGTTATGATAATGTGAAATTATAATTGTGTTGAAGTTCAGTAGAAGCTAAGTTGAAGTTAAGCTAAACTTAAAGTTATGCTAAGTTAATAACATAAAGTTTAGTTAAAATCAAGTTTAACTAGTTCATTAGTAAAAGTTTAGTAAAAAACTATAACTTGTTTTATTAAAGACTAGCTGAGTGTGCCCGGCCTTGCTCGGGATTCAATATTAGCTTGAGTTTATGCGCCAATTAAAAACATGTACGTAGCCCCCCCCCCCCTCTTATCTAAGGGGCTACCCTCTATGACCTCTACATGGTTCCATTTGCTTGATTAGTTCTCGAGTTATGCAGAAATTTCTGTTTTATTTGGATGGGAGCCCCCACTTACAGAGGGGGGAGGGGTATCGAACCATCATTAGAACCTTTCCCGGCCCCAAAAACCCCTGCATACCTATTTTCACGCCGAACGGTTCAGTAGTCTCCGAATCTATAAGGGTCAGACAGACAGACAGAAATTCATTTTTATATATATATAGAAGATAGGTGGATAAAATCAAGATAAAATTAAGTCAAAGTTTATTAAAGGTTGAGTTATAGTTACTGATATGTTAAACTTAAGTAAAAGTTATGATAAAGTTTAGTGTCACAGTTCAGTAAGAGATAAGTTGAAGTTGAGCTAAACTTAAGGTTATGTTAAGTTAATAAGATAAAATTTAGTTAAAGTTCAGTTTATTTAGTTAATAAGTAAAAGTTTAGTAAATATTAAGTTAAAGTTTTATTAAATATAAAATAAAGTAAGGTTAACATTTTTATTAAAGTAAATGCTATGTTAAAGTTATGATAAAGTTAAATTAAAATTGTGTTAGAGATAAATTATGTTTAAGTTTTATGTCTTTTAAGTTAATAATATAAAACTTAGTAAAAGTTAAGTTAAATATATGATAAAATTAAGTTATAGAATAGTAAAATTTATGTTAAAGTTATTTTCAGAGAACTTCAGGAAAATCTCTTGGAGGTTCATACATATTCTTGAATTTTTTGAAAGTTTTTGAATGTTCTTGGAACTGCTTGAAACTTCTTGGAAGTTCTTGTTAAGTTAAAATTAAGTCAAAATTAAGTTAAACTTTAGCTAATGTTTAGTTGAAGTTATGTTTAGTTAAACTTACAGCTAAGTTGATTAGTTAAATATGTAGATGAAGTTGCGTTAAAATTGAGACAACGTTTAGTTAAAGTTAAGTGAAGGTTTAGTTAAAGTTAGGTTAATGATATTTATATTGATAAACTCAAGTTAAGTAAAAAATAACTCTTAGTTAAGATAAAGTTCAGCAAATGCTTAGGAAAAGTTAAATTAAAGTTGAGTTAAAGATATGTTAAATGTTTGTTAAAGTTAAGATAAAGCTATGTAAAACACGAGATAAAGCTTAGTTTAAGTTGTGTTAAATTTACTTCCAAGAAACTTTAGGAAAACTTCAGTTAAAGGAACTACTTGGAAGTTGTTGAAAGGTTTTGGAATTTATTCAATGTTCTTGGAACTTTTTTGAAGTTCTTGGAACTTTTTAGAAGTTTTCGGAACTTTTTGAAACTTCTGATAGTGTCAAAAAATTTCTTTACACTTCACTTGGAAGTTTTTGATATGTTAAATTAAGTTAATGTCAAGTTAATGTTATGCTAACGTTAACTTGAACTTAAAGCAAAGCAAAGTTTATATGCTAAAGTTCAGTTAAATTTAAGTTTATTTTGACTAAAGACCATGTTCATCAATTGCGTCCGCGTGGGTTCCTTAGGGCAACTAGCGAATTACTACTGTGCATTTAAGGAGAGTGGTTAGACCATGCTTCCCAATTGCGACCGCTTGGTAGCTTAAACATTATCCACACGATGCACAAGAATAGGTCTCGACTCATTCGGAACCGTCTGATCGACGGAAATCAAATCAAGAAAATAAAAAAGATTATTACCCAAGAAGTGCTAAATTAAATAACAAATACATTCCATTTCAATTCCAAAGTATTCTAAAGGATAGGAATATCTTTAATAGACCCATAAACACTTATTAATTAGCGTAGCACTTCCAACTAGAGCTCAAATGAGAGATGATTGAAATTCTCATAAATAAACGCCTCAAATAATGACCCGTTCGAAAGCGCCAGACCATAAACACATGCATGTGGGCAGGTTAACCGAACCATTCAGCCGACTGCCGATCACCCTATGCCTCATTATTATTAATAAAGACTCATTCATAAATTTTATGATGCACTTTAGCTGAACCATACCGAAGTGGATACTTTTTTCCTATTAATTCATCACTCTTCAGGAGCACTAACAGCGCTTGCGCTTTTTAACAGAAAATTAATGATTTCCGATGTGATTCCATCTACAGCTGTCAAAAACGCATTACAAATACTAGATCACTCTTTACACGCATAATTACAAAGCAACCAAATTTCAACAATTTCCGCGAACGAACCCATTCATTCCGCACCACCAGCGCCAAAGTTGCAGATCTTTATCTGCTCGACGACGACAGTGTGTGAACACACCACACCGGCCAACCGACAAGGTCCACGAATGTACGGAATTGCATTCCAACCCGTCAGCAAGGAGAACCTCAACAACCAGAGCCAAATGCCGCGCTGCTTTCCGGCTTCTCGCGAGCTCCATGGGTCCTACCTACTAGATAGATCGATATTATTTCGCTCGCGTGGTAGTAGGCGTCGGTTGGAATTCAGCGACGCGAGACGCCACGCGCATTTTCGCTCACAGCCTGCTCAGCTCGGAAGAAGCAATCAACTCTGGCAGTGGCAGCTAAATAGCGGCTTACCTGCCTATAGTCGTGTGCGCATGTGCTAAAACAGTTAGTTTTATGGTCTATCTCTCTCTCTCGTTCCATCATATGCTGCTATGCTTCGATTATTGTTTATTATATGGAGCGTTTAGGGTGCTAGGGGCGGATGGGGTTGGGTGCAAAATCAATTCGAATTTCATGGAAATTCGTGACCTTGCCTTTCCCTTTCGATTCTTTCGCGAGACTTGGAACTACACAATGCAGACAACCGGATCACGTTTTGCGGTGTTTTTCAGTGGCTGGTTCGGTGCTGGCTTTCCTTTGTGATTTTGTTTTTCTTTTGTATTTTTTGGTGCAAATACCTCCACACACGAAAATAGCGGCCTTAAACGGCCGAATGAATGGGATCGATATGGTTGCATCTCTCGGTATATTGGAAGTTAATTATCGTTTCGGAATTTACTCATGTGGGAAATAAGCTAGTGCCCGTGAAAAATTGGGCGAGCGTGTCCAGTCTGGGAACGACCTGCCGGAGCGCATCGGACGTTCTGATCGATTTTTATTCAAGATCATATAGCTCTAACTAGTCAACATGCACTTGCGTCAAAAATCTGAAAAATCTAACCCCGAAAAACAGTAAATTACTACATAAACTAATTACCATTGAGGGAGCTAAGCAAAGCAGGCGGCAGTGGTGCACGGAGACTATAGCAACAACAGCAAAGACGACGACGGCAGTGCATACTATGTGCAAAGTATTTGAAAGTGACCAGCCTGCTTCTGCTGCTGCTGCTTAGTTGGGCTGCTTTCGAGTAGAATCTGAGCGCTGGGGTGTATAAAACTGCTTCCTAGTCACTTGGTTAGGCACAGTCCGCGAACAGTCCTCGTCCGATTCAGATCAACCAGGAGGTTTGCAGCACTCAATAGTTTCAGCAAGTGTCTGTTTTTGCTTTGCAAAGTCAACCAAATTTTACAATGAAGGCTTTCGTAAGTAGTTCCGAGTGATTAAGTGTTTTTTATAGTGACAATAAGGACTCTCAAGTGAAAACCATAAGAATACCGAGTGAATCAGTTACTGATCGAATGTTGTGCTTTTCTGTTGATCTTTCCGATCGTTTAGGTGTTGGGATCAGTGCTGCTCATGGCTGCGGTCTGCTCCGGATCGTACGTTCCTGCCGATACCCCTGAAGTCGCCGCTGCCAAGGCTGCTCACTTCGCTGCTCACGCCCACGTCGCTGCCAGTTCCGGTCCAGCTGGTCACCATTGGGACCATCATGATGCCCCAGCTCAGAAGTGGCACGGACCCATCCACATCCCGGTGATCCACAATGGTGTCCCAGTTGAAACCCCTGAAGTCCAGCACGCCAAGGCTTTCCATGCTGCCTCTTACGCTAAGGTTTCCTCCGGATATGGTCACCATGCCCCAGCCCCACAATACGGCCCAGCTGCCCACGCTCCTGCCCACAACGGAGCCGGAGCCTGGCATGGACCTCAGCACGTCCCAGTGATCCACAATGGAGTCCCAGTCGAAACCCCAGAGGTCCAGCACGCCAAGGCCTTCCACCTGAACGCCCTGCATAACGCTGGTGCGCACTCCGGACCTGCTCCATGGGCCGCTCACGGTCATGGACATGAGGATGATGGCTCCTACAAGCCACACCTGTACGAGGCCGAGCACTACTAAGCCACATTTCCACGAATGCCAAACAACCCTAGGAACTAGCCAAATGTAAAATACTCATCACTCTGTCCATGCCTGATGCCTTCGCGACTATTGTAAAAAGCATTTCACACACCACGTGCGTCAAAAATTCGCTCAACTATTGAGTGCCAAGTAGAATTGTCAAAACAAAGGAAGAGTGCTCCCACTGCCGTCACACCATAACAACATACGGGTGACAATCTTCGACTCAACATCCTGATCGAAGTAGGCCACGCCTTTAGTCACCAGTGGGAGTAGCTTCAAACGAATGCCTAGAAACGTCAGATCGATCGAAGACTACTTAGATCCAAGTCTGGGAAATATCAAAAGCAACAACAACAACCTCATGACGAAAGAAAAGGAGAATGAGAGAAATGTGGAAACACACTCTGTAACGATTTTATAATGATTCCTTTGCGCGCAGTGTACGTATTCTGTAAATGATAGTGTTTATTAAAAGATTGTAAGTGCTAAAAGCAATGCAAAAGATTTAAAGAATCTTAAACGATGTGATTTTTGATTGGTGGGATAGCAAAGGGTGTTGATGACATTTCTTGCTCTGGATGGGTGAAAAATTTACACTATTTTAAGTAGTTATGTAACAATTGCTTCGATAATTCCGATGCCACTTTGACAATCAACAGGTATTCAAGGGCAGGCTCTTAAACCTGGTATATCAACGTACTTATTTCCGACAGCAATTAAAAAGCTATATGTTTACATAGGTCACTCATGCTCGACCAGATTTTAACCAAATTTGATGAAACAAGTTTTATTCGATCACAAATTTACTCAAGTTTTGTAAGAATTATGAACAGATCCGACCACTTTTGTTATTCTGGAATTTGCTTTATAATTTAATGTACATTTTGGAATGTATTAATCAAGGCATAACAAATTTATGATTTACTATAACTATTCTGAATGACCTCGAAAAGGTTCAAGGGTTCAGCTTATGCAAGGGGTTGGTCACTCAGCACAGTGTATCAAAAACACATATGGGCACACCTGGGCACACTCATTTGCACTTTTTGGCACCCATGGTACATAATTTGTATGATTTATAAAGAAACTGGCAACACTGCCATATTTATGTGCCTGTGGATGAGTCAAAATTTGATTGTTGACACAAACATTGTTGACACTTTTTCTCGTCTTAATGAATGCGATGGGAAAAAGCCAATTTAACTGGCGTAAAAACCCCATGTCTTCTCACAATTCAGTACAAACATGATCAATAGAGTGATGCAAAATTTGAAATTTTCGCTCCACAATACTTAAACGATTCCAAATCTGATCCTGACTTACCTCTCAAAATTTGAACCCATTTGGTGAGAAACTGAGATGGCACAAACCATTTGAAGTTTGTATGGGAATTACTATGGTAAAACCAAAATTTTTGTTCATGTCTATCTAATAATTCACCATATCGGTCTGCTTCAAAAGATTTGTACTTGTAGGAAGTTTTCCCAGCTACAACTTTGCTCAAGACCACTTTTTGATTAAATGCAAGGATCGAAAGTTATCAATGCTTCAATGCGCTGATGTCTTATGATCATGCTCAATCAACTGCTCAGCAGGCAACATTGGTGTTTCTGGGGCGTTGAATAGGACACAAAAATCATGGCTACTATGTCACACTGCAAAATACAGTGTTGCCTACAGAGCAGCTGCTTGATCATGTCATAAGTTTACCAATCTCTTAAATAATTAATAACTTTTTCCTGTCTCGTTTTACATAGAAATGATCTTCAGCAAAGTTGTAGCTGAGAAAATTTTCTATAAGAATGGCTACTGTTTCGCAGCTCAATATGGCAAAAGACTAGAAGGCAATGAACAAAAAATTGAGATTTCCCATAGTAATTTACATGTAAACTTCAAATGGTTTGTGCGAAGTCTGTTTCTAACCAAATGAGTTGTAACTTTTGGAGGCTAATCAGGACCCGATTTGAAACCATTTAAGCACTGTGGAGCGAAAAAGTCAAATTTTGCATCAGTCTAATGATCAAGGAGTTGTACATCTATAAGCGTACTCCATTCTAGTCGAACTGCTAGTACTACACTGTGTTTTTTTTTTGATTCGCTATCAAAGTTTGACAGATGAAATGAGGGGTTCATGGATTTTCCTATATTTTGAGGAGTGCATCGATTAGCTTGGGACCGAAGAGAGTACCAGAGCTAAGCCAAAAAGTTGAGCACTTTTCTTCGGGACCTTCTGGTCTTAGAATAACCTCTACGGTTGTACCATAGAGGTAACTCTAAGACCAGAAGGTCCCGAAGAAACGTGCTCAACTTTTTGGCTCAGCTCTGGTACTATCTTCTGTCCCAAGCTAATCGATTCACCCCTCGAAACATAGGAAAATCCACTAACCCCTCATTTTATCCGTCAAACTTTCATAGCGAATCAATACAAACATTGTGTAGTACTAGAATGTCGACTAGAATGGGGTAAGTTAACCGATTTGCTTGGGACCAATAGGCTAGTGAAGTAGTGAGCCAATTTAAAATTATATATATATTATCCTCGAATTAAATCCCAATCACGAATAACGGGCTGTTTTTTTTTTGTTGGCGTCCATGTTAATCAATACAATTGTTAACAAACATTTGGTGGATTGTCCAGCCAGAGACGGTATTAAAAGTTAATCCGAGTTGGAGCTTACCGCCACTAGTGTTCATTTTTAGTAAACATTGCCCCATCCTTTGTCAAATTTTCATCAGTGCATGAACTCAAATCCAGAACAACATGTGAAAAGGGCATACAAGCTTTTTGTAAACAAACCTTCTTATGCCCTTTACTCGCCACCCATATGACACCAACGCAAACCTTTAACATCACCGGGTAGGGGACACTTTCCCCTTCCCGATGATATTGCTTTTTTGCGTGGGCGACCCTCGGTTGGTGAGAAAAGGGCCTACAAAGGTTTGTTTACAAAAAGCTTGTATGCCCTTTTCACATGTTGTTCTGGAAATCCTCTCAAATCCAGCAGTGCACTCGTCCATTTATTCTTCACGAAAAAGTTGACAGTTCTCTGGTCTACCACCTCCCGATAACTTTACTCAAGCAGTTTATGTGAAAATACAACGGTAAGTTTGTAAATACCTTTCCATAATTAATCTGTTAATTTGAAATGCACCTGCGTAAATTGCGATTGTTGTGTCAAAGGTGTTTGTTCCATCATGAGCTATCAAGACGAAGAGGATCCGATCGACTATCCGGTGGGATCTGTTCCCAAAGACCTTGGCTACGGGAACTTTGACCACGAGGACAGCCGCTCTCGATCACCTGAAGATAGGCCTCGAATTCTTCTGATGGGATTGCGCAGATCAGGGAAAACCTCCATCCAAAAGGTGGTGTTCCACAAAATGTCACCCAACGAAACATTATTTCTAGAGTCAACCAACAAGATCGTCAAGGAAGACATCATCAATAGCGGATTTGTGCAATTTCAAATCTGGGATTTTCCAGGACAGATTGACTTTTTCGATCCTACCTTTGAGTCGGACATGATTTTCGGAAACTGTGGAGCTTTGGTCTTCGTGATTGATGCCCAAGACGATTACATCGAAGCATTGGCTAAACTCAACCAAACCGTAACAAAGGCACACAAGGTGAACCCGAGGATTAAGTTCGAAGTTTTTATCCACAAAGTGGATGGAGTGAGCGATGATTTTAGAGTGGAGTCACAAAGAGACATCCATTCGCGAGCTAACGATGATTTGGCCGATGCTGGGCTGGAGGGAGTCCATCTAAGCTTCCATCTGACATCGAATTACGATCATACCATTTTCGAGGCATTCTCCAAAGTTGTGCAGAAGCTTATTCCGCAGTTGCCAACACTGGAAAACCTTCTCAATATTTTCATCCTGAATTCTGGAATTGAAAAAGCGTTTCTGTTTGACGTGGTATCGAAAATTTACATTGCCACCGATTGCTCCCCGGTAGATATGCACAACTATGAACTCTGCTGTGACATGATCGACGTTGTGATGGATCTGTCTTGCATCTATGGCTCCAAAGATGATCCCGATGTTGCTGCCTTTGACAAGAAGAGTGCCAGCCTGATTAAAATGAACAACAGTACGGTGCTGTATCTGCGGGAAGTGAACTCATTTCTAGCGCTCGTGTGCATCATTCGGGAAGAGAACTTTTCCCACCAAGGCGCGATCGATTATAACTTTTTGTGCTTCCGAGATGCTATCGCGCAAGTTTTCGAACTCGGACGTATCTGACGGGCAGTGCGATTTGCAAGCAGACAATGCTGTTTAATACTGCATGGTTGTTTCCGAAATTACATTTGTCAAATTTTCTGAATAAAGATTGAGCTGCTATCGCTGGAACAACAAAAGTGTTGAACTATGATGTGAATCACGTACAAATTTCTCTGTAGAGAAAATCAATTCGTAAAGATTGATTCCTGGATGCAATGTTTACTAAAATTGATCATTTTAATATTCATTATAGATGAGTGCACTGGGGAATTCGAGTTCATCTACACGATCAATCAGAACGACTCAGCGACTGAATTCAATTGACTCAGAGTATTTTCTTTTTATACGAAACTAACTGAGTGTGCCCGGCCTTGCTCGAGATTCAATATTAGCTTTAGTTTATGCGCCGATTAAAAAAAAAAGCATGCTATATTGTACGCGCCTCCCCCCTCTTATCTAAGAAGCTAACCCCTATGACCATCGCCCAAATCTCCACATGCCAACTTTGGTTCCGTTTGCTTGATTAGTTCTTGAGTTATGCAGAAATTTCGGTTTCATTTGTGCGGGAGCCCCCCCCCCCCCTACAGAGAAGGGAGGACCCTCGAACCATCATAAGAACCTTTCCCGGCCCCAAAAACCCCTGCATGCAAATGTTCACGCCGATCGGTTCAATAGTTTCCGAGCCTATAAGGGTTAGACAGACAGACAGAAATTCATTTTTATATTTCAGTGCCAACATTTCAAAGGGGCGTAATTGCATTTGTAAACAATGGCTTTAGCCGCCGATTTCTCGTGAATAAAAGCTCACTCATGAAAAATAATGGCACCAGCAGGTAGAGGAATGTTTCCTCTACCAGCTAGCATTGTTATTTAGGAGAGGTAAGATTTCATTCGCGAGAAATTGACGGCAAAAGTCATTGTTTACAAAAGCAATTACGCCCCTTTGAAATCTTGGCACTGATATATAGATTTACTCATATTTGGAAAAACCTGCAGAAGCTATTAGCTAATGAGTAACTGCAGGTTTTCCCAAATATTAGTAAATTTCGTATGGAAAGAAAGCGTTCTGAGTCAATTGAATTCAGTTACTAATTCGTTCTGATTGACCGTGTACAGGGAGCTGCACCGTCGGGTTAACCTCACTTTTTGACATCTGACGGTTATAGACACTGTATATAGACCGGTTAATGTAAAATCATGCAATCTGGTAGCCCTGATAAATGTCATTAATTTGGAAAATAAATCTGGCATCACTTGAATTTGTTCAAACTTTCGGGGAGCAGCTCAATTAGCCAAGAAAAAGATATTTGGTTTTGTTTGTCGTTGCCATTTGCGGCACTATTTTACTTACGCACAGCGTTTCCATTTTGTCTTTATCACTCCTCTCCACACCGGTCGTTGCTATCAGAGACATAAATTAAGTTACCATTTTCCACACCGGCAAAACAAACTTTTGACGTTTGTTCAAAATAGCAACCGTCTGATGCGTTGCTATCGGGTTGCTAAATTTATGAACTCACTACTTCCCAAGGTGCGGATTGTTATTTCCCCCACCTGAATAGCAACCCCCGGTACGCAAATCGTTATAGTAGAGGTTGGTAAATATGCCTTATTTACTCATTGGTACGGTTGCTCTTATAAAACTGTGTAGAGGAATCAAACACACAGTCAAATTAACGGGGTAGCAAATTTTTTATTGATCTTCAATTAACAATGGTTGTAAGGGGAATCAAAATTTTCTCCGATCTCGCTTCATGGCTTACTGATCTCCAACATCCTCCGGGCCAGCGACGGAACTGGCCTTTAGTAGAATAATCTTCGTAATCGGTCTGAGGTAGGTTGATCTTGAAGTGCGTATCTTCACAGTCCTAATTTTGCCGTCGGGTCCCTTGTAAGCCTTTTCGATAATACCTTTGGGCCAACATCCACGATGCAGGTTCTCATCGATGATCATCACCAAATCACCTACTGCATACTCGTAATAGTTTCGATTGTCTTTCCATTTCTGTCGTTGGATCAATTCTGGGCGATAAGCTGACACCCAATTACGCCAGAAACGATCAGCGTAAATTTGTGCATGTTTGTAGGCAGCTCTCGTCATCAAACTGCTCTCATCAAAATCGTGATCGTACTGCATATGGTTGTTCCGTCCAAGCAATAACATATTATAGTACGTTCAGACTACAGAGTTATAACATGTTATAGCGCTATCTTGATGGTGGTTTCTGTGTTGCAATTATTTGACAACCGTTATAACATGTTATAACTCTCCAGTCTGGACAGCGTTTTAGGCGTTAACGGCTCAGGATCATGAGGATCATCCGACACATGTTGTTGCCGGAATGAAACCCCTCGCACTAACTTTCGATAGCAGTATATTATATCAGCTTCAAAGCTGTAAATCATAGGATTAGTTAGAAATTATAGTCATACATTGCGGATAATTCAATCTTACAATTTAGTGCATTACTTCAATTTTAAGGTTAGTAACCTTCACAACATTAGCTTTGTCCACGAACAGTGTGTTTCAAATTCTAGAATAACAAATTATAGTTAGTTCACTACACTTTTATAGTTTAATACTAGGCAATCATATGCATTCTTACAATGTTCAGTACTCTTAGGTAGAAATCAATTAATTTAATAAATTTACAGTCACTCCACTATATATCAAGTCACGGTGGATGCTCATATAAGTTGTGGTGATGTGTCCGTTTGACAGATCGATCGTCCCTCAGCCTGGCTGATCATCGGTGACAGCGCATGACGTTTTTGTTGGACGCGTCGCCTCGAGCCACCGGGTTACCAGTATCACCATCCCTGTGGTAGATCGGTAGACTTGCGGCAACATCCTCCGCCGGGTGCATCTTGCCATCGACCAAGACTGCACGGATCTCTCCAACATCCAGCAAGGCAATCTTTGTTACCGGTCTCCGCATAATACCTCCTTTGGTCCGCACGATAGCTTGACGTACTCTTCCATCAGTTCCTCGAATAGCTTGCTCCACTCGTCCCCTGGTCCACTCGCTTCGTCTTCCATCATCGGTGATGAGGACCAAATCACCAATCCTGATCTCCCTCGCTACTTCTTCGAACCACTTCGGCTGCCGACGAATGACTGGCAGATATTCTTTCAGCCATCGTTTCCAGAAGATATCCAGTTGCTGTTGGATATTCACCCACGTTTTCTGTAGATTCTGCTGCTGATAGCGAAAGTTCCGGCTTGGTTCCGTGACTCCGCTTGAACTCCCGAGCAAGAAATGGTTCGGAGTCAGGGCTTCGGATTCATCCGAGTCTAACGGCAAGTACGTCAAAGGCCTAGAATTCACTACGCTCTCAGCCTCCACAACCAAAGTCCAAAGTCCTTCCTCGTCAAGTTTCCCATCCCCGTAAGCTTCACCCATCGCGGCCTTCACTGACTGTACCATCCTTTCCCAGGCGCCGCCCATGTGTGGGGCACCTGGCGGTATGAAGATCCATTTACACTTCGAGCTGGTGAATGTTGCGGATAGCCCCTGCTCGATTTGTTCCCGCAGAAGTCGTTCGGCGCCTTGAAAGTTGGTCCCATTATCGCTGTGTATCTCTACTGGTGCTCCTCGACGGCCGATGAACCTTCGTACGGCGGAAACGCATGACGAAGTAGTCAGGCTGTGCACGACTTCAAGATGGACTGCGCGCACGGTGAGACAAGTGAAAAGTGCGATCCACCTCTTCACGCTCGCTCTTCCTTGCTTCACCAACAACGGACCGAAATAGTCCAATCCGACGAAACTGAATGGACGGCTGCAGACTGCAAGACGAGCTGCTGGAAGTGGAGCCATCGGAGGAATGTACGGCCGAGCTCTGCGAAGTTTACAGTACCAACACTCAAGGCTGCATTTTCGCACTATGGTTCGCAGTCGAGGAATTTCAAAATGCTGACGGATCTCATTGACTACGGTTTCCGGGTTAGCATGCTTATACTTCCGGTGGTACATATCTACCACGAGTGTAGTCACTTCACTCCTTCTGGGAAGAATCACAGGATGCCGGAGATTGTACGACGCATGTTTGGCTGCTCCAATGCGCCCACTCTGTCGCATAACTCAGTATTCATCCAGCATAGGTACCAGTTGATACACCGAACTGCTTTTTGGAATCGGTTGCGCATCACCATCCCCAGCAGACTTGTTCTTCGTGAGAATCGACATCTCGTCCGGAAACGTTTTCCACTGCACCTGCTTTATGATTACCACTTCCGCCGCCTGCAGCTCTTCCTGATGCAACTCGCCAGAAATGTTGCGTCGCTTTCTGTTGATGTTGTTAGTGAAACGCAGCAAATAAGCTACTGTGCGATGTAGCCTTTCCCATTTCGCGAACCTTTCGAATTGAATAACAGACTCATACGGAATGTGGAATAGAACAGAAGGTCGTATTTCCTCCGTCTCGACGGTAGATAACTCTGGAGGAGTCGGCCAGTGGTATTCCGGGTTCTTCAGAAACTCTGGTCCAGAAAACCAGTGGCTATCGGTACTAAAATAGGGTCCTTTACCCCACTTGGTCCCTTCATCGGCCGGGTTATACAACGATGGCACGTATCTCCACTCATCTACACTGGTAGTTTCCAGGATCTCTCCTACTCTGTGGGCTACGAACGGTCGGTAGTTGCGTGGATCTGACCTGATCCATGAAAGCGCCGTAGTATTGTCTGTCCAAAGATAGCGTTTCGTGATTGGAATGGTATGGTTTTCCTGAACAAATTTCAGCATCCGTGTGCCGAGTACGCACCCTTGTAGCTCAAGCCTGGGAATGGACATTGGCTTAAGAGGAGCCACCTTCGCCTTTGCTGCAAGCAAAGAACACTGTCCATTACCTGCGGAATCCATCACGCGTAGATAGACGACGCAACAATACGCCGCAGGACTTGCGTCGACAAAAACGTGCAGCTGTGCATGTTCATAGGTGGAGCTGGTCGCTGCCTCGAAGTAGCATCTCGGAATACGAACCGTTGATATAAACTGGATCATTTTCACCCAGTCCCGCCAGCGATTTAGCTCATCGTCCTTGATGTTTTCATCCCAGTTGATTCCGGTTCGCCAGAGTTCCTGTATGAGT